GTATTTTTCGTGTCAGTTCATCTCCTCAACTTATCATGATGTGCAATTTTATTCGGGTACCTTTATTTTTATTTTAGATGAAGAGAACAATGAATCAACAAACGAAGGTCTCGTTCGCACAGAATTTGACACTAAAAAAGAGAAGGCGTGATTGGACATATATGTTGTACTGCGTTTTTACGGAACTTATGTCATAATCATTAATTGGTTTCCCAGTTAAACAAACATGAAGATGAGATTATATTGATGTTGGCATGCTGCATTAAGAAAAAGATATGAAGCTATTCTTAAAAAAATACGGATACCATTCATTACTGCCATCCACAGAGAGAGGTGACAAAAAGAAACATCTTTTTGAAAGTGAACATTTAAAATTGCTGTAGTTGAAAATAGATCAAAAATAATGTACGTTACAATTTTCTTTGCTTTAATGTTACGGTAAAACACGAAGTAAATTAACAACATTCGGTAAAATAGGAAAATAAAAAGAATGACTGGGCAGAGTTCTTCAAGGGCATTATATGAATTCATTCATTACCCAATGCATTTGAAGACACATATTATACTGGGCAACAATTTTTTCATCTTTTTTCTTGGTTTCTTCAGGTTAATTTCGAACTTCAACGAAAATAGGCAGTGTCTTTCAGAAGAAAATACCAAAATCTTGTTTGGCCCGGACTTATCAAAATATCAAAAGAAGTACAGGAAATGACAACTGATTAAGTATTCTTTTACCTTCTAAATCTCAGTATGAAATGAGATGAGGTGAAGTAACTGTGTGGGAGTACAATTTAGATGAACTGAAGATCTAAATCACACAACACTTAAGTGGTTTTCCTTCGATATATCGCAGTTTGCGAAGCCGTCCAGTGGGTTTGTACTTTTCTAGGAAATTCAGTTGTTTTTGATTAAGAGCGCCTCGTCTGTGTCTGAAACAAATACGTAATATACGCTGATTAGATAAAAATATATGTCATCATTTTGGAATAATAGTCCGCTTAAATTGATTTCTGTCCTGACAATGTTATCAAACATGAGGTATGATAATAGATGCAGAGAAACAAGGAGAATGCAACTAAGTAATTCTTGAAGTCAAATTTCAAGCACATTTCTCAAATGAACAACTTCAACAAAGTATGTGAAGTATCTGCAAATAATAAAAGCTATTAATAGGTTTCGGGTGGTATTAATATTAGATTAATGCGAAGGAAAGGCTAGAGAACACACCTCCTGATGAGATCAACAGCATCTTCATATTTCATACCAGCTTCTATAAGGGCAATAGCCACTAGTACTGGAGCTCGACCCAACCCAGCAACACAGTGCACGGCAATACATTGATCTGGATGCAACTTAAAACTTTCTTTCGTTAAAGACAACCATTTCGCAATCAACTGAAAGCACAAGTAGTGTAAGCACAACACAAGCAGTCTTACTGTATCACATTCGTGTTAGGAACTGTACACTTTGCTTCCGACAAGCAATGCTTGTGCAAATAATCGAAATAATTAAACTCTACTCAAGCATACTAATAAAGGCTACACGACCAAGTACAAAAACAGTACTCTAATAGTCTGGAAGAAGACGAATAAAGCGTATTTTGTAGTTCGCTATGTATTCAATGTAAATAAAAGATAACCTCTGGAGGTGGTGCGCTGCCATCATCAAATTCCCAGTCGAGTACATCAATGCCATTCGAGATCAGAGGTGCCTTAGCATAAGTTGGCTCACACACTCTAACCACTGCACGAGCATTGTGCTTACCTAATTCCTTAAATTATGTGACAGTTCTGAATCAACAAAATTAATGAACTATATTCTGAGAAAATTTATTTCTAAACAATTTTAAGAGTATAATTGCCCCTTCCTTACAGCACTGCAAAAAACAAGAGGAATTTAACCGAATTTGCAACAAGAAACAACTTAGTACTAAGATATATAAAAAGCGACATAGAGAGATTACATTCCATGTACGCTGCTTTTTACAACTTTAATTATTCTGTACGCAATTGTACTCTATGAATATAAAATTTAAATAAATGAGATAGGAAAAAGGTCATAAAAGCTTTAATATAGCAAATAGTTAACCACTCATTATTGAATATGAAAAACTGACCCGAATGAAAGTTTTTATAGTTACATCGCAAGGCCTGTCAGTAATTAAAAACCTCATTCTGCCATACTGAATTTCGCTGGGTTCGGGCTTAAAATATGATGAAATGGGTCTTGTTGTTTCTGAATACGTTTCTTTCTGTCTTTTTAACATATTCACAATACCAACCAAACTATTAACAGCAGAACAATAACAGCAGAAAAACAGCTAGCTGCTTCTTGAGTTTTTGATTCGCCGTGTCACTAATCGGATGATATCCGCTCGTGGAAAAATATACAATTAGTGGGGATAAAACTGCTGCAGATAACAAATAGTGAAAAAAGGAAAACAACAGCAGCAGAAGTGAGAGCAAACCGATTACAGTTTAATGCAGATAAAATTGATATAGGGATGTAGAATGATTAAGAAATAATCAGAATGCAAATGCGAAACAAAATGATAGGACAGAAATAATTCTACTTATAACGAACTTTCCAAGAATCCGTGGTTTCTTCTTTCTACCAAAATATAATGAGGAATAATATCATATGATTCGAACGCCGAACTTTAATTTTTTTTTCAATGTCGTAATAATAATAATGAGAATACAATTGTGTGATAATGCACTTCAATTTTGTGAATACACAGTTCTTTTAGCAAATGGTTTAGCAGTGAAAATTCCTGAAAATAAAATAATGAATAAATACCAAACAGTTTCTTTTAGTATAATTAATTTTTAATTGAATATGTCTGTGTTGCACATATTGCTCACAGAGATAAAAAGGTCGCCTATTTTATTTACCGGTCAGTTATAAAGAATCTGTTAAAATGTGAGTAGTAATATTACAATTTGCAGTAAAGAAAAGTAATTTTGAACAAGAAATATATGCCCACCAACAGAAATATCAACTCACTCACATCATTTAGAGACAACTAGACGACAACATGCATAGAAGAATCATTTCTGATGTTACTGATTTGATAGATGTTGAACATTCACAATTTGTGGGGTTCAATATTCTTTAAATACCATAAAATATTAATATTTACAATAAAATGTCCCTTTAAATTTTTCGACAATTTTCGGCGAAGAATCTTCTTTGCCCTCTCACTACTTTTTTATTTTTTGAATAAAAAACAGGGCCAAATTATTCAAAAACTTTTTCTTATCAATGTATTTACTTGTGCGAATCTACAACTATACAAAGATATACAGCTATAAGCAAAGAAGACTTAAGTAAATAAGCAGATGAATTTATTACTTCTAAATATGCTATTTTCATATTACAGCTACACATAAAAAAGTGTCAGTGTTTAATTCCTTCCACTGAGGCTTAAATAATGAATAACAATCAGCCTGGCTGATTGCTACATTTCAAGAGCAGTTCAATTTGTTATGTGTTACATTTAATTAGAATGTTCTAATGAATTCATTATTACGTTAAAAATCATAGTGAATAAAACCAGCATCATCCAAGCATACTTGTTACTTGTTATTAACAATAATGATGGCATACTAACAACTTTTAACACGCTTGGAAATAAAAAAATTAAACGAATATTGGTTGGTGATGGTGGGAATGAAAGAAAGGTGAAAAACTATTAAGAGAACTCAATAGAGTTAACTTCACATAAATTGATAGAACTTGCTTTCATTGCTGTATACTTACTTGCTTAATTACAGCAAAAGTTATTGCTTGAAAGTTGAAAAACATTTCTGACCACAAATTTAGAGTGAATTATTACGACAGCAAATCAAAAAAAAGCAAGCAAAAAACAAACATTTGTGTTACTGAGTCAACCAATAATCTAATAATTTATTAAATGAAAAAAGTTCACTTCAAGCACAAAGCGTCTATACATAGACATAGATATAGATAATTAAATAGATTATGTAGACTTGTTTATTTGTCTACATAAATTAGTAAATCATGAAGACTCCTAATCGTTTAAAATGCTAAATTTAAAAAAGACGCAGTTAGCATACTAATCGTCAGAACAGGATAACAACAACGGCTGTAGCAACATTACATTACATCACACTCATACATCACAAGTTCCATGCAATCAATCAGCTCTATCCGTCCTTTCTTTTCACATATTTCATACATTTCAGGCTGCTGTAGTCAGTCTTTCAGCAATTCAAAAGCTCACCTTAAATTCAGCACCCCCTCAATCCCTCTGAATTACTTTCACTCACCTCCAAATTTGGCTAGATATATAAAAAACAAAATATGGCGTAATACACAATATATTGCGCTGGATGAGACGCACATTCAACTCTCAACAACAGGTTCACAAGCTATATCAAAATTACACGCGAAAAAAGAGAATTCTCAGTGTTTCACTTTAAAGAGAGATGTGTACTTTAAACAGTACACATCTTACTTTTTACTTTAAAGTGATGCAGATCATATCATATTATGACTTCTGGAATAGTCTTGGAAATAAATTTTTAAAAAGGTAAAAGAATTACTGCGATGACGAGATGCAGCGCAAATGAAAACACTGAAGGGAATATCTCATAACAAGCTTCAGTGCAGTAGTGAAATCATCGCGAGTTTCTTCCGAAATAGAAGAAAATCAAGACATGCTTTTACCTTTCACATCTAATGAGATACATGGGATGTCGTAGCAGATAACTCAAGAAGCAGTACCCAGGAGCAGTATTCATTCAAGTAGGGTATCTAAAATGAGCCTTCAATTTATCGGAGCATGTTAGGTAACATGCTGATACAAATTTGAGACATAAAATGAATTCATAGGAAATTTCTAGAGCAGCAGCACTTGAATGAGAAAAAAAATCCTATATATATATATAAATCTAAGGAGTGGTCATGCGGCATTGTATGCACATGAGCATAAGTGATACTCTCCCCAATGATGATTTGACCTTTGTATACCAACAGTGCAAGACCAAAGGTCAGTTTTCGTATTTCCACCTCGTTGCTTCCCTCATCCATTTATTTTCAATAGATTGACATCTCGGTTTGTATTTTGACCTTTTGGGCATTAGTACGCAAGGACGTGTAACCCCATTTGATACAGCTGTACAGTTTTACCGATATGTCATCGTACGCCTCTGTCATAGGTCAAAAATGAGAGTAGATGAGAGAAAAAACAAAGCAAATGAGGAAAAGGGAAAGAACTCAGGTTGTACTCTATTTCCATAACCCAACACAGAAACTCACGTGACTAGATCTTTCGCGACCACCATTATCGACAAAACAACCAATTAATCAATCGATGGATCGATTAACCAATTGGTGAAAATGAGGAACCTGGTGAGTACTCACATTGTATTCTCAAATGCACTCGACCTATGTAACAAGCGACCATTCACAAGAAAAATGCTCGCTGAATAAATGAGCATTAGCAGTAGGATTAGAAGACGAGGAAGAATAAATCTTATTCATCAAAAATACCCAACTGCTTATATGTATTAGTACTCACTAACTGGTTAAACCATCCGTGCTGGGGTCAAATTGACATCACTTTGACCTCAATTTTGACTACATCTTTCAAGAGTGCTTTCCCTTCCTTCACTGCAACTTTTGCATTCTAGCCCACAATATTGTCATACATCGAAGAACACAATTTTGCTACAAACTCAGAATCTTATACTCATTCCTGCGAATATATCTCATTAAATTCCCGATGTCTGCTTCCTCTACAACAGCTATAATTCATTCAAGTATTTCTATTACTTTCAAACAAAACAAACTGCTTCAACGTAAATCTACTTTCATAACAAACACTACAATAAATAGTACAAATAATTTCCCGCGAACACCGACTTAAATCGTACAGTTATGTATTACATACCAAATCTCACAATTCACATACATTTTCTTCAGTCAGGTAAAAAACTTTTGCTATGCTCCATTGTAACATACATAAATTTATAGCTAGTACTGAAATTTTTCAGTCATGTATACATATAGTTTCAAGTTACATACATATTATATATATATTGAAACTATAAATATAATTTATTGTTTCCTACGAAAAAAAAACTGTTATTAAGGAGCATATTTGAAGACAGAACTTAATTTAATGACTGTAAATAATAAGCAAGCCAGTCTTGAAAAGTTTGATTTTTTCAGATCTTCCAAAGTGCACTCAATAACACAAATTTTTTTCCAGTGAAGCATTGCTGTATTGCTTGTGCCTAGATACATCCTACTGCAAATGCATTCACGATTCAAAGTACATTTATAATGATATTACATACTTAACGCATAAATTACAAATGTTTACCTGACAAAGCGATTTGAAGGGTCACAGGTGATCAAGAAAATATTTCAGAAAGACGTCAAATGCTTCTTTAATACTTGCTTGACTACTGCACACTTTTTGGCACAATTAGTGGTGATCACTTGTTGAAATTTGCTCCAAGAAAAATATACAAACAATTTAGTAGTGCTGTGCTCGACAGTATTCTCCAATGTCTGCTTTTAGGCTAAAATAAGTAAAACATACATATGTTTCATGAACAAATGTATATTTAGCTATGATACAATGCCATAAACTGATATAAAATCTACCATTGTAATGGAATATGATTTTATTTACAAACAACGACTAAATGTACTACAAAATAATGGATATATAACTAAGCAAATATACATCTGTTCATACATTCTCTATAATTTCTGACCCTTTGTTTTCATAACCAATAAAAGTGAAGTTAAATTAAAAGGTCTCTATGTACTTCTGGATAAAAGCAATTCCTCGATGTTTTCAGTGCAACTTTAGAGAGATATTATCATTTTTTCAGCGAAACATGAGATACTGACAAACGAAATACTTCAGAAAATTAAAATCTTATTACTGAAAGCTTTTTAAAAAGCCATAAATCTTAATCTAAATTAGAATGCACACATTACAAGAAAAAAATTAATCAAATCCTAAAAATCAATGCAACCCTAAAATTTCCTCCACCTGATTTCTTCTAATTCATTTCAGTAGCTTTAATCAGTATTACTTAAAAAGATGAAAAAAAATACACAATATCTGTAATTTAGAGTGACTATATGATATGAATACACGTAAAGAACATGTCAACAAGTCGTTTTCCAGATAATCATTATTCTCCCTTTTCAAAACTACACTCGTCCATTTTTTCCGGGTAAAATCATTCATTAGATATAAATTATTAAAATAATCTTTTA